TGCACAGGAAACTGAGGTGGTGCTCGAGAAACCTGCCAAAGGGCAAGAAACTACAAGAAGTAAGCGGCTGGAGGGAATGACTCATGATTTCAGTTATCTCTATACTAATGCACAAAGTATGGGAAACAAGCAAGACAAATTGGAACTTTAATATAGGATGGCAAATATACCTAGCAGGCATTTCTGAAACCTGGAGAGATGAGACTCATGACTAGAATGTAAGAATTGAGGGGTATAACCTGCTCAAAAGAAATAGACCAAACAGGAAAGGAGGGGAAGTAGCATTATATGTAAAGGAAGTGTACACTTGTAAAGAAATCCATGACCTGTAGCACAGAAGGAAGATTGAGAGTTTATGTGTAAAAATTATAGGAGAGACAAACAACAAAGTGCCTTCCAACTCTACAATTCTATGATTCCAATGTACAGTCGTACCTTGGTTGTTGAACGGAATCCGTTCTGGAAGTCCGTTCGACTTCCAAAAATGTTCAACAACCAAGGCACAGCTTCCGATTGGCTGCAGGAGCTTCCTGAACACAATCGGAAGCCGCAGCGGACATTCGGCTTCCAGAGAACATTCGCAAACCGGAACACTCACTTCCAGGTTTGCGGTGTTCGGAAGCCAAAATGTTCAACTCGCAAGGCGTTCGGGAGCCAAGGTACAACTGTATATATTATGTGTATAAATTAAAAATAAGGATGAAGCCAGTTGAGAGATAGTGATATAGTGATATAGTCAGGGTTGTGTGTAGTGGTTGACATGCTGATTTGGCCAGGGGGTGGTTTCCAATTGCTGATTATTAGGCCCATCACCATCTGTCAACCTCTTCTACATTACCATAAGTTCCTGGCAGGAAGGGTATGATACAAATGTGTGAACGTAGAAGGTACTAGTGTTCCCTCAGTATCACTTCTTCCTCTACAAATGGATATATTATAAACTCACCCAGACCGTGAGGGTTAAACCAAAATGCTTCTATAAATAAAATTTCCCATTTCCCCCCCAATTATTCAAAGAACATTTTTTAAAAACTCAAATTATTCAGCTAAAACTTGTGGTGTTGACAGCAGAGCTTGTTTGGTTGTTCCCACCTAGGATTATTACTCTGCAGCTGTCTGAAATGCAGATTAAGTAAGTGCCTCAGGGTGACATGGGAAGATCGGTCTCTTAGCTGGGAATTAATTGAAATCCAAGTCTTCTGAGTCCAGCACCACATCTGCTAGGTGTACTCTCTGCTGCTACATTTGACAATTTCTTTGAAAAAGAAACAGGTAGTTTTAATGCAACCTGAGCAGTAGGTAATTCACTGGGCCTTTTGTACTGCCATTCATTTCAACGTGAACTTTATATGTAACCAAAGTAGGTATAAAAAGTTTCAATGGTAGCCTTTACAGCAGTGGTATTATGGTAAGTTATTTAGGTTCGCCCCACGTTGCTGCAGCACCATTTAAAGGCTCAGCAACATATGGGAGGGTCTGATCATGCACATAATTATCACCCAGCAATCATCAAGAGTTATGGCTGGGTGGAAAGAACCATTGCAAATGGTCCCACTCATGTGGTACCAGGCCTTTAAATGTTACAGCTCCCACCCCAATAATGTCAAAGGCATTAATATCCTAGCATTTTTCTTCCGACATTGTCTTCCCATCCTAATAATATCTTCTGCATATCATATCTATGACTGAATTTTTGTGAAACTTGGAACAATTTATAACCCATAGTTTTATCTGCCCATCTAGGGTTATGTTAATTGGTTTTTAATTTAATTTTGCATTTCACTCTTCCTCCGAGAAGCTCAGGAAGGAATATATGCGATCATCCTACTTTATCCTTGCAACAGCTGAGGCTAAAGGAGAGTGAATATCCACTATACCACACTAGAGGAGTAACTAGCTCCTGTTGAATGTTCCCCATTACTAAAAGTGAGCGTCACTCAGAATTTTGTAGGCTTTGTCCTGAAAGCACCATGTGGTTACATAGCATACAATTCTGGTGACCCTCCTACAAGCCAGAATTCTTAATCCTCCTGAGATTCGGTAATCCCTATGCCAGCTGCTTAATGCCAGACTTCTTGCTTCCCTACCACACAAGGGGAAAGAGGGCTTAAATCTACATTTATGAATGTAGTTTCTTTCCCTGACCGCCAAGCAAAATAGGATCCAGTCCACTTTGGTAGCTTCATTCTGTTATTCTAAGGGCAGAAATTTTGTTCAAAGTTCCAGTAACGCTTAAGACAACTCACGGAATATTCTCCCTTCACGTGCTAACTATATGGTGTTTTAAAAAAAACCACAGCAAGAAGTTACCACTTTGCATTGCAATCTTACACTTAAACTGGTTGTGTAAATCCGCCACAAATATTTATTTACTTTTGTGTGTGTGGTGTTTTGTATAGTTCACAATGTGAGTAGTGAGAGTTTCTTATGTAGGATCTTATGAGTCTTCAATTTAGCCTGTGTGTTTCACACCCCCAGGCCACATGGAAAGGCACGACAAGAGAAACTGAGACAATGCTAGGCAAATCAATTGCCTTAACAAAGCAGAGATCACTACTGAAAAATAATGATTTAATGTAAGCATAAATGGATCCTCACTGTGGTTAAAAAAAAAGACCCTAATTTCAGATATGATCTTGAATCCTGGAACGAGGACCACTGGGAAAATAGTTCTCAAGTCATTAAACATGTTTTTTAAAAAACTTTTACTGTTCTTTTTGGAGATTATATATATATAAAATCTCCTTAACTCATCAGCATTCTGCAAACCACATTTGGGGCCGCTTTACCTTATAGTGCCTATATGAGAACAAAAGGAAGCACCAGAAAGTTAAACTGGCTGCTCATGTTCTTAAAAAATGTACAAGGAAGAATACTAGCACAATGCCCACCTTGAAATTATTTTAAGTTACAAAAGATCAAGACACAAACCCCCACTCAAAAATATTAATCTAATATGGATTTTAGTATTTTAATCCAATGGCAGAAAATGAAAAAATACAGACCCTTCCTCTGTGTGTGTGGTTTTTTAAAATAAACTTTAAAGGTGCCATGAGGGGGAGGGGGGAACCCTACAGCTGTCTGCCTATCTGGCAGTCTTGATCTACTCTTGAGGAGCTTCTGTGCCTGCAAATTTTACCCACTTTTGCCAAGAGAGTGAATGTGGAACACAAATCTTGTTATACACAGAGTGGCTCAGGACTCAAATCACAGGCAGACAAGAGCAACCTAGGAACAGATCTGGGTGGGTGGGGGTTAAAGCACAGATTCAAAATGAATCCTGAGGCCAGTTCACACCCCTAATGTATACATTTACGAATGAGTTTGAAACACTGAGTTAATTGTCAATAAATGCATTTTGCTGCCTGTCACCATCAATACAGACATCTTTTAACGATTCTTTATCATTTTTCTCTCAAAAAAAATACCGTATTTTTCGCTCTATAACACGCACCTGACCATAACACGCACATCGTTTTTAGAGGAGGAAAACAAGGGAAAAAACATTCTGAATGAAACAGTGGATGTATCATTTTTGTGCTTCATGCTGTGGCCACAGACATGTGATCTGATGGTGAATTTGGGGTGACCCAATGCAAAGATCCTGAGAATCCCTGTGGATCCATGCTTTGTAACCACGTTTTTGCACCATTGCAGCCCCAGGCAACAGTGGGTGCGTGCTTTTTTTGGTGCAGGCTGTAGCCATGGACATGCTATGTGATCTGATGGTGAATTTGGGGTGACCCAATGCAAAGATCCTGAGGATCCATGCTTTTGTAACCACGTTTTTGCACCATTGCAGCCCCAGGCAACAGTGGGTGCGTGATTTTTTTGGTGCAGGCTGTAGCCATGGACATGCTATGTGATCTGATGGTGAATTTGGGGTGACCCAATGCAAAGATCCTGAGGATCCATGTGGATCCATGCTTTTTAACCACGTTTTTGCACCATTGCAGCCCCAGGCAACAGTGGGTGCGTGATTTTTTTGGTGCAGGCTGTAGCCATGGACATGCTATGTGATCTGATGGTGAATTTGGGGTGACCCAATGCAAAGATCCTGAGGATCCATGTGGATCCATGCTTTTTAACCACGTTTTTGCACCATTGCAGCCCCAGGCAACAGTGGGTGCGTGATTTTTTTGGTGCAGGCTGTAGCCATGGACATGCTATGTGATCTGATGGTGAATTTGGGGTGACCCAATGCAAAGATCCTGAGGATCCATGTTGATCTATGCTTTGTAACCACATTTTAAGTGGGGAGCGAAGGAAAAACAAAGAAGGGACATGAGAGGGGTGTGCAGAGAAGCAGCTGGCTAAGAATGCTGGAGAGGGATTTAACGGGTGGGAGGCAAAAGTTCCCCCCCAAGCCAGCCATCTCTCTCTCCCTCTCCCTCTCTCTCTCTCTCTCTCTCTCCCTCTCCCTCCCCCCTCTCCCTCTCCCTCCCCCACTCTCTCTCCCTCTCCCCCAGCAGTACCGGAGCACAGAGACGACACTTTCCCCTCTGCTTGCCTGGAGGGGAGGGGCTTTCCCTGCTCTTTGTTCCGTTTCAGCAATCACAGCAACGAAACAGAGGAGGGTGGGCAGTAAGACCCTGAGGCAGAATACAGGAAAGCTGCCACTTCCTCTTTTCAGGTTTCCCTTCTCTGTGACTCGCGATTTGACTTTTGCTTGATTTTTTGGCTCCAGGGACCACACATTCGCTCCATAACACGCACAGACATTTCCCCTTCCTTTTTAGGAGAAAAAATCTGCGTGTTATAGAGGGAAAAATACGGTAACTAATGCTAATCAAAGCTATCCTTGGCTTTATTCTTCCTGCGTTTCTGAATGCCAATTCTTGAGCAGCATGCCAAGTCTGCTGAGAGATGACTGTATAATTTTCAATTGGGCTCGTAGCCCAAAGGGAATCCAGTAACAGGAGATTGACAGATGGAGCATATATTATCATCACTTTGAACTCAGTCCAATTGGTGATTTATTTTATTTTTATTTCCGGCAGGTGCTAAAGAGATTGATATTGCTGCTACTCTGGAGCACTTGAGAGACCAGAGACCTGGCATGGTCCAGACAAAGGTACTGTCAATAAATCCACTTGGGTTAAATACCTTAATGCTTTGCTTTAGTTCTCCCAAAAGAAAAGGAGGATAGGGCACAATTTAACACAAAGTGCATTCTTTTGTGTTTGCTTTTTCTTCTGAAAATTCTTACTGTAGATCTGGATTGAAATGTTAAATATAGCAATCTTTAGATGACTAAAGAAAATATGTGTTCAGAAGAAAACACTTTCCTAATCTTCAAGGATAGGTTACTTCCTAAAAAAATAATGCAAGTTCACTGAAAATACAGTGACCTTTATCTGAATGGTAGGGTTCATCAAGCATACTTAGCAAGAAGGCTGGAGTTCAAGAAGAATTTGGATTTGATATCCCGCTTTATCACTACCCAAAGGAGTCTCAAAGCGGCTAACATTCTCCTTTCCCTTCCTCCCCCACAACAAACACTCTGTGAGGTGAGTGAGGCTGAGAGACTTCAGAGAAGTGTGACTAGCCCAAGGTCACCCAGCAGCTGCATGTGGAGGAGCGGAGACGCGAACCCGGTTCACCAGATTACGAGTCTACCGCTCTTAACCACTACACCACACTGGCTCTCAAGACAAGATTCTCAAATTAGGACAAAATAGGTTACGTTGATGGAATATGTCAAAGAAATACGTTTGAAAAAGTTAGAAGTCTTAAGTAGAAGTACTACTAGGCCACAGGAGTAATATAGTACCAGGTATCTATTGGCTTGGATCTAAAAGTTCCTTCTTCTCATGCCATGACACTTCTGCTTATGCAAGTATGAGTCTCCTGTTTTCACCAATTCCTTCTTCCTGCTAGGGCCACAGCCCATGCTGTTCCGAAGGTTTCCCTAATCCTCAAGAGCAGGTTTTTGGAAGTTGGGTAAGGGACTAGGGTGGGAAGTGGAAGGCAGTAGAGCTCCGTTATTTGAGTAGGAAGTATGTTAATGGGAGTCAGGATCCAAGCCATTATCACTTCCAAAAGTGATTTTGATAGGAAAAACCACCGCTAGGGAGACAGAACAGGTTGAAATAAAAATAATAAAGTTATGTAATAATAGATTATTTACGCAAATTGAATAAGTAAATGTAAAGTTGTGCTACGGTGGGAGATACACGTTCCAGCAATCCTCTTTGAAGGTTGTGTGTGTTAGTTACACAAGTAGAAGACCACTTGCACAACTCAAATTTCTTGTCCACTTCTCCTCTGCAGCCCTGTAGCCTTCATAAAGCTTCTCCAGAGGGTGGTTGGGGATTGTAGGCTCCATTGTATAGGACTGTAGTAGACTGGAGGGATTGTGTGAGATTGCAAGACTCCTCCACCCAGTTTCAGGCGATTCTCCCCCACCTTCTGCACCAGACCTATAGCAACACAGCCCATCCTGTTCAGAGTGGGGACCCAACTCTCTGGAATGGCTTTTCCAAGGGTGCAGAGGAGAAAGTTTGATTGTGCAGGATGTTTTCCGCTCAGGCAGCCATTGGATCAAACCCAAGAAATTTTAAAAAATTCCTAAGAGCACAATTAAATAAATAAATAAATTCTGATTTATTCTATTCATTTACGTTTTGCATGTAGTCACAGATCGGCTCTGGGCTAAAGCTTTTTTTAAAAAAATGTATTTGAAAGGACTTCAATAGTATCAGGCTAAAGTTATTGATGATCTGGTATTTTAAAAAAATGGATTCAAGGTTTTGCTCACCTTCCTTTTAACTATTCATCCCCTTGTTAAAATTGCCCAAATTACTTTGTTGTGCCAAGGACACTGCAAACTCTAAATATTTGGCTATGAGCCAGTAATGGGCAGTCTCCAGAGAATTTTGTACATGTGATACATTTAAACAAACCATGTTCTCTCCCAGCTGAATACAAATAAGGGATGAGCCTCTTACAGTAATTTAAAACAGTGGATTAAAAATCAGGATAGAAATGCCAATTAGAGTGTATCTCTAGGCAAAATAAACAGCAGTGACATTGGGTTTACAAGCAGACACTGCACCATGTTTTCATAGCTCACTGGTTGGTGGAAATGATCCCTTTCAATATGTTTGTTGCTGTTTTTAATCATGGCTGTCTTCCCTATATTTGGGGTCTAGGGGTTACAGGGGAGACACTTAGCAATCCACATAAAATGAACGCACATTTTCTCCTAAAATTTATATCCCACCTTTCTTTCGTTACGAAACCCGAGGTGGTGCATTTATGGTTTCCAAGTAGTCTCTCAATTAAGGTTGTAAATTTTTTAGTGATTATGTTATGTACATCTGGATCCTGATGATAAGGATAGACATACACATCTGATTAAAAGAATCCTGGGAACTGTAGTTTGTTGGGAATTATAGCTCTGTGAGAAGGAAACCACAGTTCCCAGGATTCTTTGGGAAAAGTCATGTGTTAAAATGTGCATTGGGTGTGCTTTGTATCTCAGGTGGAGGGCAAGTCCTTGTGGTGTAGTGGTTAGAGTATCAGTCTACAACCTGGGAGACCAGGGTTCAAATCCCCACTCGGCAGTGGAACTCACGGAGTGGCCTTGGGGTGGCCAGTGACTGCCTCTCAGCCTAACCCACCTCACATGGCAGTTGTGGGGATTAAATGGGGAGAACCATGTACACTACCTTGAGTTCCTTCAATAAAAAGGTGGGATATAAATGCAATAATAAATTAATAAATAATTGGGAGCCCCATATGGGCTGCTCTCATTCTCTCAAAGAAAGAGAGGATTGTGTATATGTATATATAAGGAATACACAACGTGTCTTGTTGATTATGTTAGGTCTGAGGCCTGTTTCCTATGTTACTCTCCCTGTTCCCTATGCTTTGCTGTCCAGTTTTCCCATACAAACTGGCAAAATTTCCAGGTTGATCACTGCTCACAGGCCATTCATGTAGGCTAATAGCTAGCATTACTAATGGCGCTGATGAGTTATTTGTAGTTAAGGTCACTCTGAGCTGCAGTGATTCAGCCACATGGTGGGCACACATTGAGTCTATAATCTTAATCTCAGGACATTTTCTTCTTCGCCTCTTTTTTGTTGTTGTTGTTCTGTTCTATACAGTTAGTCCCTAGATATTTTGCTAAATGTTTCACCAGGATTCCTGGAAATGCTCCAGAACATTAATCCCGACTGTTCTATCTACAGGAACAGTTTGAGTTTGCGTTGACGGCAGTTGCGGAAGAAGTGAACGCAATCCTCAAAGCTCTTCCGCAGTGAGCAACTCCTCGTCTCCGGAAGGTTCCCAAGGCGCTCGTCTCCCTCTTCCATTATCCTCGGTCCCTGTGAATGTCATTGGAAACCGTGGCCTGACCTTAACTTGTGTGTCTGCTATTGTAACCACATATCGATAGGGATCTTTACAAACTTCTATTGCCGGTGAAAAGTCCAGCAGTTAATGTATATCCTTGTTCTTGTTATGGTATTCAGAAATAATACACACTGAGACCTTGGCTTAAGAGACAAGAACAATCCCTCTAGTTCCTCTTAACACCCACGATGTTCTGAATCTCACACGTTGAAAGCACATGTACACCTTGTTAATAGAAAACACACCGTGTTGTGGATGCGCAGTGCATTCAGTGTATCTTTGGCAACATAGTGCTCTCTTGTGTATCTGTAAACTTCTCCAGGACTGAATAAAAGAGGCAGGGGGCCTAATTATTACTTTTTTGAAAATAATAAAAAAACCAAGCGTAGGGGGTTGTTCTTACAAAGGCCAAGCAAGACCAGAGAACAATGGCACGTGTTAGTAAACACAGCTCCGACTTCTTGCATAAAGAGGCTGCGCCACTTCATGCTGCGCTTGGCAAAAGGAACACTTTTCTTAACGGTTGTTTACTTTCCATCTTCTGTGCAATGAATAGAGGCAAATCTGAGCTCTTAAGTCCAGAGACCCGCACAGTTAGCACAACCAGGGATAAAAAGTCGGTCACGTTAGCAGGAGCCCAAGTTTCCAAAGAGCACAGCAAACTTTTTTATTGTGAATCACTGCCCTAATAGAGGGAAAGAAAGGCAAAGTAATTGAACTTCACAAGAGGGTTTGAAAGCCTCTGTGTTGGCAAACTGCTGAATGTTGGTTTTCTTTCTTTTTCTTTTAGAATTAGAAGAGAAATTGCGTCTACCGTTGTGTTTATATCTCGAGATTAATTTACCTTTTTAAAAAATCCAAAAGTGCATGCTTTTTTAAAGACCGGTAAAGAGATTTTTTTAGGAGCTTTCGGTCATATCTGATTGAATTGCTAGCATATAGTTATTCAAAATTATAGCAGGTTCCTTTTTCCACTTGATTCCCAAATTTGCAGAATAATTTAAAACCAATAGTAGTTGCCTTTAGTTCTTAATCCACTTACAAGTAGCCTTATTTTACATTATGTTACTTGCACATAAGTGCTTTTAGGATTGCTATCTTTTACTATAAAACTGTCCAATAATTCCCTTTTAAACATAAGAGGGTGTGATCCAGCCTCCTCCTTCTGCACATGCAAAGCTGCATACAAGGAGGCTTCAATGCCCCTGGCATTTGCTGATTTCAATTTGCTGATTGAAACGTGCTTTTGCAGGAAACATCTTCATTTGCTTGAGCTTTGAATTAAAGAAGATTACTTGAATTACTGTGTAGTATGCTAGCTATTAATTATTTGTTTCCATGCTTCTAGCACTTAACTGTGGCTCTCAATCTGAGGTGTGTGTCTGTAAATTTCTGTACAGTTACGTTTTGTTTTAAATGTATAATTTGGCTAGAACAGTTAGATCACAGCATCCTGTGAATGAAATCACATGTTTCAATTCTTGAGCACAGTCCACCAAGCACAGCTGAAGCACACTCTTGTCGGTTTCAATGGGACTTCCATGGCCCATCCACCGGCCACTACTGCTACGCATCCTGTCTTCGTCACACTTGCAAGCCCCACTGAAATATACGGAAGATGTGGATTAGCAGCGCTTAGAGGATTAGACCCTTTATCTCCATTGTTTAATGTAAGCATCTATGCGGTCTCCTAGTAATTAAAGAATTGTTTTTAAAAGCTCCAGATGTGTTAGCTTTCGTGCGTACATTTCTGCACACAGTTCCTGGCACTTGGAAAATGTTTGGTTTGCACATTTCATTAGCGTATTACTCCTGTAGAGCAGTTAAAGCAGACTACTCTATCCTCTTTGTCTACACCTGCTGTATATTTAGCCACATCTTTTATTCCATGGCATCAGCACTTTAGATCTTCTGTAATAATAATTAAAATGGAAAGTTTTAGGGTGTGGTTAAGGTAAGGGTCTGGGCCTTTTCATTGGTTATTTTTTTCTTAACAGGTTTCCTTTATTACTTTAGGAGTTTAGGGAAGGGAAAAAAATCAGTTGAACAGCATCTGCTAGCATTCTGAATTCGATTTACTGGAGGTAAACGGTTTGCTATGGATTTCTGCACACTCATGCATCAACTTTGAGATCAAAGCATAGATTCCGAAAAGGGAAGCTCAGCATACAGCTCTTTGTTATGAAATCCTGTATTCTTGGGGATGGTGTGTTACAGTGGTCCCTCGGTTTTCGAATGTCTCTGTTGACGAACATTTCGGTTTTCAAACGCCGTAAACCCGGAAGTAAACACTTTGGTTTTCGAACACACCTTGGAAGTCAAACAAGCCACGTGGCTTCTGTATTGAGTTTTCTGTTTTCGAACGTTTCAGAACTCAGAACGGTCTTCTGGAACAGATTACATTTGAAAACCGAGGTACCACTGTACTAGCCTGCAAAGAAATGTCAGTGGATTTAGGGCAAATCATGCCATTGGTCCACATCTGGGGGAATCTGGTGCACTGTTTAGTTGGTTCACTCCCATCTGTGTTTCAACCTACATTGATCTCTGCTTTCAACATGGTTGAAAACGACCCTACTTTGGACCAGGATGAGCTGAGTGGTCTTCAGGGTTGAGTTCCCATGATAAAAAAAGGGAATGTTCGGGTGTGGAGAGAACCTGCCCTCTTCCAAGACATGTCTACTGTGTCTGGTTATGCTTCCCACTAAAGGGGATTCTGGATATGCCCTTATATCAGCAGTGCACCATGCTGGCCACCACTCCAGGTCTACGTTCAACCAGCTATTAAAACTATTTGCAAAACCCACTGAAAGAAAGAAAAGCCAGCTATTTTGTACACTAGTTACTCACTAAGTCTTTAAGGGATCCCAGTTATTGGAAAGAATAACTAGCCTTCCTATCTGTATGAATAGTTTCTTATCAGCAAGAAAAGTTTTTTAAAAACCCGAGTAAGCATGCATAGGATTGTGCTGCAAGTCCATTTTTCTTTGTCCCTCTGATCTCCCTTTCCCAGCTCTAGAGGTGCTAAAGTATCCATGATTAAAGTATTTCATACTCTCTTAAGCCTGCTGTCTTGTAATGTTGATTTATAAGTCCCACTGAAGGCAAGACACTCTACAGAGCAAACGTGTATAATTTGAACTGTAGGCGGTTACAGTGGTACCCCGCAAGACGAACGCCTCGGAAGACGAAAAACTTGCTAGACGAAGGAGTTTTTCGTTTTCTTAGCCGCTTCGCAAGACGCATTTCCCTATGGGCTTGCTTCGCAAAATGAAGCTTGCCCCACAAGCTCCGGGGATAGCGGGGAAGCGCAGCGCGTCTTCCCCGCTGTCCCCGGAGCTCTTTTGAAGCAAGGGGCGGCGGGGAGAAGATTGCCAGCCCCGCAATCTCCGGGGACAGAGGGGAAGGCGCGCGCGCCTTCCCCTCTGTCCCCGGACCCCTTTTGAACCAAGGGGCGGCAACGGGGAGAAGCAATCTTCTCCCCGCCGCCCCTTGCTTTAAACAGGTCCGGGGACAGAGGGGAAGGCGCGCGGCGCTTCCCCTCTGTCCCCGGACGGTCTCCATAGGAATGCATTGATTGATTTTCAATGCATTCCTATGGGAAACCGTGCTTCGCAAGACGAAAAACTCGCAAGAAGAAAAAACTTGCGGAACGAATTTTTTCGTCTTGCGAGGCACCACTGTACTTCTGTTTCTGTTTTGAAGCAATTTCAAGCCTTCTCCCATAGCTCACTGATTGGCTATTCAATCATTTCTTTGAAAGTTTCTAACATAATTCCATGTAAAGGCCCTGAATCCTGCAAGACACATGTTCAGGCACTGTCCACTTTAATCGCACAGTGTCCTTCTTTGAGAAAGGGCGGGGCTTTCAATTCTGCCCTATACATCAAGCCCTAAATCTTAAATATGTTTGGCATTGTTGCACCTGACAACAGTGGCCATCTGTTTGTTCAATACTGCATGCACAACTCCTAATTCAGTAATCAGAACGGTCTGGCAAACCAGATTACTGGAAGCAGGTAACTGTCCTGGGTACCAGTTTTGCAGTACTGTCTCACTCATCCACATCTTGATGAACCCAGGACCTCTGCTCAGATGGACCCAGGTTAATATGCCCAATTGCAAGAGAGTGTCTCATATGGTGCAGTCCAGTGTGCTGAGTTTGTATCTAAGCTGGTAGCCATAATAGCACTGATTAATACTTTGCCACTCAAGAGGTTGCCTGTGTGATGTTCCTATGGCTGGGCTCAGAAACTGAATCCAGGCTATATAAGAATATAGCAGTGAACTGCTATACACACATATATATGGATCAGAATCATGTACATAGAATGCCATTCTATTAGATACATTTGGCCCACCATCAGCAATCCTCTGCCCTAGAATCTATCCATCTTTCATTCCAATGAATTGTGATTTTAGAATTTTCACCATTTTAATCTCTGTTCTGGATGTATAACTTAAGTGTTCGTAGTTTGTGTTAATAGCTAATTGAGGAAAAGGAATATCACAAGCACTCAGATTTTGGGATGAACTGAACATCTGAGAAGTTCTGCCTTTTATTATTTTATAACTATACTTTTTATCACTGATTAATTTTCAGTACTGCTTTAAATAGTTTAGACTTACAATGGAAGCGAAGACATCTCCTAGAACAGTGATGTCACACTGTTACAATGATATTCTAGGTACTTGGCTCACCTCTGGCAAATCACTGCGTGTTTTTATTATTCTAATTTCCATACAAATGGGTCCATTCCAACTTCAAAAAGGAAGTTCTAAACTGGGGGGGGGGGATGCCAACACGCATATGCTCCTTTTGTGAGTTCCAGGTCACTGGGACAGCTGCTCATGTTTCATAGGTTGACCTGCTGCAGACATGCTCCCATGGACATGCTCAGCCTGGCACATCATGTGTCCTAAAAACCCGAATAAAGCTTATGGGAATGGCATAAGTCATGGGCATTTCCACAGTTGCCAATTTCATGGGGAAGAGCCACACAATACATCATTCTCATGCAATGCTCAGCCAGCTGGGATGGCCTTAGGAAAACGGCTTGTTACACAGCAGTGCAAGTACAGCACTTCAGTATCCAGGATTTCTTATACACAAGAAGAGGCCTTCTGGTTCAGATCAAAGGCACATCTAGTCCAATAACCCAAAAGATTAAAAAGTCAGCTCTTCAAAGTTAAATATTAGAGAAGCCACTCTAGCCAATTACGACAACATTAACCATAGATAACAATTTCCTTCTATTGCCCATGCCCTTCCCATAAGATTTGTGAGGAGGGATTTTATAGCTATCACCAAACCTCTTGATGTATAGTTCCATAAAATCCAAATTACAAGGGGCTTGCAGAACAGTCTTCCAAAGTTCCAAAAGCTGGCAGGTTTTCTCCAAGGGTTGCTGGAATGACTCTGGCTCTGAATGGGCTGACGTCACAAATAAATGAAACTCAGTGCATACACAGCCCTTCAGATGAGTGGAATTTAATTCTTCCCCAGCAGTAACTAAAACCCTAGAGTAAAATGTCCATTGCACATATTTCCTAAAATAGATGTATAATGCTACTCCAACGCATCCCACAGAGGAATGACAGCAGTATTGCCTGTAATTTGGGGGTTTGTGCTTTATTAATCAAGTAGAATGTTAATATAAAACAGCCCAACCTCATAATTGCTGGGACAGACATTAATTTTTTTTAAGGAACAAAGCCTGTTTATTGGAATAGAATTTTGATTAGTTTTTGTTACAGAACAATAGTTACCTTTTTAATTTACATTTTGCCTATGTGTTTAGGGAACTCTCTTAGTGAACATGTTTCTGATGATTCGCTTTTTTAAAATGTATAGTTGCTATTACTCTGCTTTGCAAACTGTTGCTATGCTTTTATGCTTAAAACTTCATTTGGCATTTTAAAAACATTTCATCATTTAGGCCGTTTGTAAAAATCTGATAACTGAACAAAAAATGAAATGTGTGAGGCTGAAAGCACAATCCTATACATGCCTATTGCAGACCCAGTCCCACTGACCCAAGGCAATTTACTCCCTGTCAGTTTGTAAAGAATTGCAGCCTTAATCTAATTAAAAGCTTGGCAGATTTCCCCTTAGTTACCTCCCTCTAACAAAACATTAACACCAGCAGGATTTTATCTGACAATGGGTGTGATCCACCAAGTGTGGACCACTTCCATTCATTCCATTCATTTCAGTGTGACTTTGGCAGAGTCCCAGTGGGGTTATTATGTGAGAGCAGGCATTTTAGTGCATGGGTGGGAAGAACCTGTGGCCCTCCAGGTGTTGCCGGACTACAACTCCCATCATCCCTGACCGTTGGCCATACTGGCTAGGAATTGGAGTCTTCCAAGAGGCCACAGGTTCACCATCCCTGTTTTTTAGCAGATTGCTCCTGGTGTCCCTCTGCATGGTGTTTGTACCATATCCATCCAACCACATAACTTGTTTGGTCTTTGAAAAGTTTCTCTTGTTCAGTTAAATATATTAGATATGTATATAATTAAAACAAAAAATAGCATACAAAGTATTTTGTTCTACCTCTGTAAAAAAAAAAACCACCTCACTTGTGAATAAAGTTATGCTGTCTGTGGAGTTCTGTGACTACTGCAAAAAAAAGAAAGATAAAAGTCTGTTGTTTTGTTTCTAAAGCAGGGGGGTGGCTTGAAGATGGGGAAGTAGGCTCGAAGGTTCTGGAACTCT